CTCCCGTGCATGATGGAAACACCATGGCTGCGGCGGCCCAGCTCTCTCTGACACAGGTAACGCCACCCGCCAGTCCGCCTGGCTCGGACGGCCCGTGTCCCCGGCCCCCTCCCCCACCGTCCTATGGTTTACCGACCTGGGCAGTTTCTCTCTGCCCCTGGCGGGGCGGCCGATACAGAGAGCGAGCGCGCGCGCGTGTGAGTGTGTGTGTGTGTGTGTGTGTGTGTGAGAGAGTGTGAGTGTGACTGGGGGAGGACGCCATCCCGAGACGGCAGCTCAGCCGCTGCAGCCGCGACCCCGCCCCGGCCGGTCGGCGCCGCAGCCCCGCCCCACGCGGCGCCCCCTCCTTCCGACCCCGCCGTGCCCCCCGACCCGCTTGGTGTGTGCCCGCTCCTCTCACTCCAGTTCGCCTTCACCCACCCAGGAAGTTTCCTCCTTCCAGGCCAGAAGCACCCAGGTGAGCTCCTGTTGAGCTCTCGCGGATCAGCCTCATCCTCGGGTCAGCCCTTGCCCCACACGAGGCTCGCCCTCGGGACAGGCAGAGTCACCTTCCTGAGCTAGGCGCTCAGGGTCGCTTCCAAGTCAGTCTTTCCTCTCTAAACCGGCCTTTTGAGTCCGACGAAAACCCTTCTCCAGCAGTGTTCTCCAGTCTCTCTTCCACATAAGTCTCATTCTACCAGATCGCGTACTTACCTTGCTAGCCCCTTCCTGGATTCAGCCTCTTCCCCTCCTGATCAGGTTTCCTGCTGGGTCACATCCCCCTATTCAGTCTTTTCCTCCTCAGTTCTGCTACCACTCCTACCCGGTGGGCTCTCTATCGCTGTCCAGGCGGAAAACAGGGAAACATCCTTGAACAGGTGTGTTGGGCCCACCAGTCTTGGTGCTGGGAAGGACGTAAGAGGTCACGTGTACTGGGGGAATCTTCACCAAAACCTGTTCTCAGGGTCTTTTCTCTTGCCATTCTGCTTCCTTCAGAGTCAGCCCTCGTGCTTCCCAGAAAACAGCTCAGCATCACTCTGGGAGCCTTGTTCCTCCCTCTCTGTAAAGAAAGCCAATTGTAATCTTCCTGTGGTGTCCTGAATGGTGAGGGGGATGTGCACCTGTCAGTCCCTTCCCGCTTTTTTGACCAGATCTCACCCCAACCTCACCTCACCTTCTCAGCCTGTTCTCTGCAGAGCTGGTGGCCATGGACTTCTCCGTTGGGGCCCACCCCAGCCTTCCTGCCTGCCCTGTAGTAACTCCCCGCCACCTTGTAGTCTCCTTGGCCTGGATTTGTCAGGGCATCTAAGGCAGAACACTGGGATAGACTATACATTGGGGCAGGAGAGTTTCCTGTGTTGGGATCAAGAGACTTTGGGGGTCTTTTGCCTAGCATTCGAGGATAGAGATACTGAGTGAAAAATGTTCTCCACAGGAACCAGGAATCACGTTAATAACTTGTGCCTCAGGTAAAATAACTAACTTCAGCTTGCAGAAATTTTCAGCTTCATAAGTGAAGTCTGTTTCTTTTCCAGTTTATTTGGTGTTGCTTATCCTATTTTGACAAGCAGATATTGGGGAAGAATACTTGGAAAATGGTGATTTAATCTTGGTAGCGAATCTCTTTGGAAGGGTCCTCCTGAAAACTCAGATTCGGGGAATGGCAACATTGACTTTTGTGTGTTCACTTTTTAATAGTCTAGTTAGTGATAGGCATTAAGTAAGATCCTGTTGGCAGGCAGTTGCTCTCAGGCTCTGTTGGCCAGTTCCAGTGGGAGTTCTCCCCTCTTGAAGATTTTGTTCCCCTGAGGACTTCTCTAGATTTGCTTCTTAGTTGTGTGCATACTTTATTCTCTCCCTGGGTAAGACCATGTTTTCAGTTTCTATTTACTATCATCTCTGGATATTTTCTTCAGGCTCTGTCAATTTTATAGACAGTTAAGTAATTTAAATATGTTCTTGTGGTTATATATTTAAATATTAACATCTACACAAAGTAAATACTGAATCAGGAGTATTATCCTTAATTGTTTTACATATAAGAGAACAAACACTGATGGTTCATTCATATTGAATAGCCAAATAAGTCAATTTAGAATATTTTGATTTTAAGACATTAAGAGGCAATAAGGTATATTGTAAAGGCACAGGAAAAAGAAACTTCCCAAGTGTTAATATACTCTAATGTGCCTCCTTGTTATTTAAAAACTTTGCTGATTTGTATTTTTTAATTTAATTTTTTAACTGCTTGAGGCAAATAAACTGAGATAACAGTGCACCCTGGTTTCACATTCATTATTGATTTGTTTATGTCACCATCACCCCCCTGCCTCAGCACACATTTAGACATAGCTATACTCAAGTGAGATCCTCCAGGGCAGGGACATCTTTCAACTCATCTGTTTCCCTCAGTGCCCATCTGGAAGAAAGTGAATAATAACTGTTTGTCTTATGAATGGCTGAAAATTCTAAAGGGTTGTATGACAGTTACAAAGATTAAACTGATGCTGAAGTTAGTTTCTGCCTCTGATCATAAGATGATAAGGGTTTTGGAGTATGTTCATTCATTCAATCAATATTTGTTAAGTACCTTTTATGTGCTATGTACTGTACTGGGATTGTCTTGTGTATAATTTTTTGCCTTTATTAACTAAGCAAAACTGACAGTTGGGGGAAAAACACCTGAAAAATATTTTAATTTACTCTTTCCTTCCTCTTTCTCCTGCCTGCCAACCAACCCTCCAATTCCCCAACCACCAAAATAAATTATGTAGATTATCATGGTCTAGCTTCTAGACAGGATAGACTATTAGAATAATGAAATGTTAGTTTCATTCCCAGCTCTGCCAGGAGCTAACTGTATGGCATTAAGTCTCCAGGCTTCAGTTTTCTTAGTTTTAATATTCATTCAACAAATATGTACTGACCATTTATTATGTACTAGGAATTATTCTAGGTGCTGAGGATATACTAATGAACAAAATAGATGGCAGTTCTTGGAGCTTGGAGACAAAAAAAACATGGAGCTTACATTATAGTTGGAGAGTTTGAATTAGCTGATCTAAGGACCTTTCCAAAGAACATTCTTTTTATAGATCATATTCTATGATTTGGAAATCTACTGGTAACTTTCCTACGGTACTTTAGTGCTATATAGCCTTAGTGTTTTTTTTTTTAATAAATTTATTTACTTATTTATTTATGGCTGCGTTGGGTCTTGGTTGCTGCATGCAGGCTTCCTCTAGTTGCAGAGTGCGGGTGCTATTCTTAGTTTCATTGCGTGGACTTCTCATTGTGGTGGCTTCTCTTGTTGCGCAGCACGGGCTCTAGGTGCGTGGGCTTCAGTAGTTGTGGCTCGTGGGCTCTAGAGCGCAGGCTCAGTAGTTGTGGCTCACGGGCTTAGTTGCTTCGCAGTATGTGGGATCTTCCTGGACCAGGGATCGAACCCGTGTCCTCTGCATTGGCAGGCGGATTCTTAACCACTGCACCACCAGGAAAGTCCAGCCTTAGTGTTTTTTAATTTTAGTTTTCTTCGTTAGGTATTCTGTTCTTGTCAATAAGAAGTAAAACTTGAGTGAGACAGATCTTGTGATTTTTGCTTATGGTGGTAGATTACAAAAAGATATTAATGCTTCCTCTTTTTAAACTTTGCTGATTGCCCATTTCTTCCTTAAGGCTGTATCTCTAATAATAATGATAACAATACTATTAGCTTCCCTTTGGGTGTTACTGTATGCCAAAAATTTTACTTCACTTAACCTAACACTCCATTTTACAAATGAGGGAAATAATTTACATAAATTAGTAAGTGATAGATCTAAGATTTGAACCAGTCTGTATGACTTCAAAATCTGTCCACTGTACTTCTCTGTGTACTACATGCTCGGCATATCCATTGCTCCCTTGTGTTTTTTATTCTTTTTTTTCAGTATTTGCCTTGTTTTCCCAATTAGGTACTAAACTTCTTGAGTATGGAAGCATTATCTTTTGCCTCTGAATCTCCATTACCTTTCATGGTTTCTTGACAGTACAATTGTGGGCGCACAAGTACTGCTCTTGATGATGAGGAAGGTTTTATTTTATTGAAAGATGGCATAATATGAGTATTTTAAACAATCATCCATCAGTTCAGCTTTATGCTGAAGTTTTCTTGTTTTAATTTAGCAAGGATTCTTTTTTTAATAATAAAAAAGCCTTTAGAATGGGACTTAATTAAAACAGTCTTAATATTTGATCAAAAAGAATACATGCTATAAGGATATGTTTTTTTAATGCTTTTTTTAAATTGCAAGAGTGATAAAACTGCATTACAGAAAATTTGGAAATTGGAGGGAAAAAATCTCCCATAATTTCAGTTTTTGGTGTTTATTTTCAATTTCATTAAAGTAGACAGTATGTGTTAATATGGGTATCACCTTTGCAGTCAATCTGGTTTAACAGTTATGATGGTAAATGCAGGGCAGAGTGTGAAAATTACAACATGTTCTCAGATGCAGAAAAGGAGTATTTATTCAACATGACATATCATTTGAGTTCCTACTATGGGAAAGGCACAATAATGATATTTTTCTTTTTTGCCTGCAATTACAGTCCAGTATATTCAGAAAATCTTTGTTTCCTTGAGCAGTATTTAACAGTTTTCAAAAATGGCTTGGAATGTTCAGCATTTGGGAGGAGCTGTCACAGTTAAAATTAATTAGGAACAGTTGGTTTGTCCAGTAGAGTGTATCCTTTTGTTTTCACTCTATTTGCAGACAGAACAATAATAACAGACTAACATGTAGTAGAAAAAGATTGAGCATCTTTATTTAGTAACGAATCATAGTTCTAATCCCCTCTCTCACAAATAGTCTAATTTAAGGTCTCAATCTAAGGTGTTTTACTTGCTCTTCAAGGAATTTTAAACACAGTTATATGCTTCTTTGTTTTGTGAATTTTGGACTTAATAAAATTGGAACTCTGGAAACCAAAATCAGGAAAATGGCTTAAGCGAGAGAAGGGATGGGAGAGGGAGGTATGTAGGGAGGGAGGGGGGGGGAAAGATCCATTGATAGAGGTCTGGGTAATTTGGAGAATT